CACAAATCAAAACCATGTCACCTGTCTTCTCCACTTCTGAGCCCCACCAAAGAGGAAGCAGTCCTCCTGCTCCAACAGCAGGGAGGCGGGGACTTGCAAGAGACACAATGCTGCAAAAATGCTGAAGGAAGCGGTCCAGGTTTGCTTTCCGTTCTTTTGTCTTAGTCTGTCAGCTCCCTCGTCTCCCAGAATCTAGGCTTAATAATTTACTGCAGAAAGACATTTAATAAATAAGCGGCCAGATTGGAGCTGTCAGCCCCACACAATGGGGATGTTTGCATCTTCGCTGGGCTTCGGCGCTCACTCTCCCGGCTTGCTTCTGCTAAAACAATCCCATTTGCTATTTTCATAAAATTAGTTTCTCTGCAGTTTCTATTAATCAGAATGTTCTTTGGAGAGAATTATACTGGGATTTCATCACCATCTGAGTTCAACCGTTATGCGAATCTGATGAATTTTGATCACCTCGATGAGTGGCAGAGAAGGTAAACTTGGATGGGCTGATGAAAGTGGGCTGAGAGCTTCTCCCTTCATATAAGCCTCAGCCTAACACACCTGAGAAAGCCCACCACACATCTCAGCAGCTTTCTCCCCCAAACAGATCTCCTTTCATAGATCTTCTTGGGGGTGGGGGAGAAAGAGGGTGTGGGGGGGCAGGGGAACAACCCTTAAAAATTCTAGGAAAGGGTCTCCCCGGTGGCGCAGCGGTTGAGCTCTGGGTTGCGAAGCTGCCTGCAGCCTCTGCAGCACCGGTTCGATCCCCGGCTGCTCCCCGGCCACCAGAAGAGGGTCCCACATGGTGCGCAGACCTCTCCTGCCGCTCACTGCTCTGCTCCCTGCTCTGACTCTGGTGAATTCTCTCACCCTCCCGCGCTTCTGACTGTACCCAGTGCTTGTATAAATTAATAAATAAATGCTTATAAATAAATAAATACATACATAAATAAATAAATATAAACGGGCCTTCTTTAAAAAAAAAAATTCTATGAAAGCTGGCCCACACACGTACACTGAACCTGAACCCACATTTGGTGGGTTTGTAGTCACCCTCTCTCTCTCTCCATACATAGGACCCAGCCATGCAGGGCCTCCAGAGGAAAAACTGTGTCCTCTGCCATCCGAACCATCCTCACCTCACCTCCCACAGAAACCTTAATCTGAATAGAAACTCAGCTGTCTCTGAATTTCTTTGTTGATGGAGAAAGAAAAAAAAAAAAGAACAATTAAAAAAGAGAAACAGCATAAAGGTGAGAGAGTGTTTGGAGATGGCCACACACCTTTTTGAGAAATGAGAAAAATGGAAAGCAGAAACAACTCAAATTAGGCAAAATAATGAAAGTCAAAATTCTCCATAAAATGATTATAGTACATGACATTTGTCTGCATGAAACATGAAATCAAAATAATGAAATTTTTTTGTTGTTTGTTTTTGTTTTTTGTGGGACACTCGCTGGTGGCCAGGGAACGCTGCGCCACCAGGGGAGGCCCAAAGTAATGAAAGTTTTTGATGAATTCTCTTTGCCTCCAGATTATATGACAACTAACCCCATTTTAAGTAAGATAAGCTCTGTGTGAGAAAAGACAGCATGGATGAAGGCAACCTTGGGCCATGGAACCAGGGTTCTGGCACCAGCTTTGTCCACTGATTACATGCTTTTAGGCAAGAAGAAATAACTCTTTCGATGTGAGGTTTTAAAGTTAACACTACATGGTTTCCAAAGTCTGTTTCAGCACCAACATCCCATGGTCCTTGATTCATTAAGTTAGTAAGGATCTAAGTTAGTAAGGATCAGAACTTTTTCTTAAGAGTGCAATTGTGAGTGTTTTATGCTGATGGGTCATCCAGTCTCTGGAGATACTACTCAACTCTGCTGTTGTAAAACGAAAGCAGCTATCCATAACATGTAAACAAATGAGTGTGGCTGAGTGACAGTGAAACTTCATTTATAGACTCTGAGATTTGAATTTCATGTGATTTTCACATTTCATAAAACATTTTCCTTCTTTTCATTTTTTTCCAACCATTTAAATATGCACAAATCATTCCAGCTTGCAGGTTATACAAAAATAGATGGCGGGGCCTCCCGGTGTTGCAGGGGTTAAAGTCTTGGGGCTATCAAGCTATGGCCAGTACAGCATGAGCTCTATCCCCACACTATCACACATGGTGCAGCAGACCTCTCCTGTTTCTGCTGCTGCTCCCCTCAGCATTGTAGGTCTGCCTGTTCTGCTCCCCACTCTGTCTCTGGTGAATCCTCTCGCCCACCCCACCACCTCCACCCCACACTTCTGGCCTATACCCCAGTTCTTGTGGGCACACACATGAAAAATAGATGGCAGGCCAGGTGAGATCCACAGGACATAGTATGCTGACTTTGGTTTATAGCATCGGCTAGATATTGTGATGTGAAAAATCATGGTGGTGATTCTGAGTGACTTTTGGAGGCTAGTAACTTGGGTCAACTACTGAAGACAGCTCTTGCGAGAATTTTTTTTTTTTACCTGGTTTCCTAATTAGCAGAATGGAACAATGGCAGCTTTTGAACCTGAGCTAATAGCCAACATTACTTAAGTTTTTTAGACGTGCAAAAAGGTTAAAATAATCATCACACATGAGAAAACATACACAAAAATTTCAGGGCTCTCTGGCAGAAGAAATTTTGATAAAATGAACCAGAAAATTTTATGCCTTTTCTTGAAATCATTCCTTATACCCCATAATTCTCATGACCTCTTTGTTGCTACCCTACTGCTATCTAGCGTAACAAATGATTTTACACATTTGAAACACTTGTATGTGCTTCAGACACAACATATGGGAAATGAGGAAATGAGACATTGGTTTTATTGTTGTTGCTTGGACTTTTTGGTTTGTTTAGGAGAAAAGAAAATTGTAATTAAGCAAAATGACATGCAACCTACCTAGCATGGATGTGCAGCCTACAAATACAGTATGATGATACACATACAGCAGAGATGTAAAACAATGAGGAGAGCTACCATATAACATCTGGTGTGCAGAAGACAATTTTTAAAAAGAGAAAAATTGCCTAGTCAAGCAATCAGTCTTCTCTAGAGTCAACTTTGATTAAGAGATGGCAGAAGATAGAGCCCCGCACTGCTGGCCCTGCTCTCAATCTTAATGAGAGGCCAGGATGTCATGTTGAATCACAAAACTCATACCTCTTCTCAGTAAAGGAGTGAAACAGAGGTAGGACTTAGGAGGCTGGTCCCATCTTAGAGGAGAGCAAACCCAAAATGTAATATCCATTCAGATAGATGTAAGAAGTTTGGGGTGCTTCCTCATTTGTGCCCTGTTCTTAATTTGTAATTTAACTAACATTAATTTGATCATTAGAAGTATAAGGTTAACCTTCCCAATCTCAAACTTTGGAATATTTTCCCCCCAAACATTAAGGGCTCAGAACTGACCCTGACACGTTGGTTCTTCACATTCTTGCCTTAGGCTCTTTGTTCAAACTATTTTTTCTTCTAATATTCCCTTCCATTTCTGTTCCTTTTCCCCAATACTACCCATATGTAAGGGCCCAGAGTTAGTTCTGGCTATACCAGGAAGACCCATATCAACTTTAGCCAATACAAAATTTCCCCCAAATAATACAAGTGGAGAAGTACTCTGAAAACTACAAATTGCTCTGCAGATATGAAGTATTATTATTATCTTTGGGGGTAATTAACTATAAATTAAGTTTGACGTATTGTTATATGTTGCTTTAAAGTGTTTTTTAATTGTTTCATATTCTGTTGACATTAACAAACCACAGCTATTAAGGCAGGAGTCACATCATATTTCTTTCGTATCCTCACAGTCCCAAACAGTGTTTAGCTACTGTTAACACTCAATTCCAATGAAATGAATTAATCAAAATAATGGCTTTCTTAACCACAGCACTCCTCATTGGGACAACTAAGGTTAAGTTGTTAAATACATAAGAAATGGGTTAGTTTCTATGACTATAATTAAAGCCTTGAAGTAGAATAAGTTTTCAATATGCATTCAATGGAACTTAGCCATTTTTTTTCTATTTAATTTATAAAGCTCTGACTCAGGAGCTGAATTCCCTGAATCAGAGATTCAGTTTCTTAGAATTGAATAATATGCTTCATGATTATTCCGAATTGTGTCTAAGGTCAAAGGGTCAAATACTTCAGCTCTCAGATTTGGTATTGCTTTGATATGTGTCCAATTTCCTTGCTCTGATTTATGGGTCTTTTGGTCTAACAGGTCATAGTCTCAGAATAAAATCATGGCAAGTTTTAGTTTGCAATTAGGTCAGAGCAGTCTGCTAAGAGCCGGGACCAGCTCTAGTTCCAGCTGCCTGGAGGTGTAGCTACAGAAGATTTATTTGATCGTTGCTGGCCTCTCTTCCCCAATCTGTTCTGTTGAGTATCACGATCCTTGCCAACCAGTCTACTTCGTAAGGCTAACAACAAATAAAATACGGCGAGGTAAGGATAAAAGAAAACGTGATGTTATTACAACTAGTGCTTCGTACTCGGTTACCTTCTGGAAGGTTATTAGGAACCCTTAATGAGTGGATGTGACTCCTCTCCGAGGTGTAATCTGATTTGCCCTCAAAATTCTGCAGCCCATTCAAGCCAGTAGGTCAGGGACTGAGATATCCATCAGACTCGGGAACAGACACTAACATCTAGGCAGGGTAGAGGTTGCCAGGCACAGAGGCTTCCTTGCGGGTTTGTGCAGTCTCCATAGTAACGACAAGGGAAGCCGGGATATACACGCCTCGGTGCCGCCCAACTCCTGGGCTTGACTGACCAATGGTCCCGTGGGTTACAGAATGAAAGGTATGATTGACAACGGGATGGGACAGGAGGCGGGGGGGGCCGGAACTGTCTCTACCCAATCAAATCAGAGGCCGGTCCCAGGAGCTTGTACGAACCAATTGGAGAGCTTCAAGAGAGAGTCCGCCCACCCACCACGCTCCGCGTTGCCTGGAGCCGCGGCGGGTGTAAGCAAATGAGGAGTAAGCTAGCCTTTGAGAGAGCAGTGTTGATTAGCGAATCCGGAATCTCCAGAATGAAAGTCCACTTGTGATTCGCCTCAAGTAAACCAAAACCCTACCGTGGGCTGCAACGAGGCCGGAGTGTGAGCCGTGAGTAGGGGACCCGGGAGAGGGGGACTTACTTAGGTGGCGATGAGGAAAGTAGGGGCGGAGAAGGGAGGATGGTGGGGGCGGGTTTGAGGAGGCTGGAAGAAGGTGAGGGCTCATGGATCCCTCAGACTCCAGGTACCCCTGATCTGGACCGAAGGCCTGGTGGCCTATAAATACTTAACTGGGGAAGGAAAAGAGAAAGAAATGCTTTATTTTCATGCTTCTTAGAAAGTGAAATGTCAATGCCTGATTCAAATACCTGATGACCCAATCCTTAATCTTTGCAGCTACGGGGATCGTAGCCAGGCAAGCATCTGAATAGGTGACCTGGGGATAGTGTTTTCCTGAGTCAGCAGCAGGGCTGGCTGGGGAGGGAAGCCAGAGGCTGCTATCCTGGGAGCCCTGGGTGATGTCCTACAGGCGGACAGGTGCGTCCCTTCTAAGTGGCAACACCACCAGCAAAAAGGGTGCAAAGGGTGTGATCGGGATCCATGGAGCAGTCCATTCTGATTACTGAGTTTTTAAGAGATGATGCCTCATCCGTGGCGTTTAGGTAGCTTGGAAACTGGTATCCCCCAGTTTTGCGTTTTACTTTATTACACAGGTAGAAGCGTTATCCTAGTATTTTAAAATTCAAACCGTGGCGAAGTGCTTAAAGTAGGATCATAAAAGTATGAGAGCCCCCTCCATCCCTTCTCCCATTAGAAGGTTAGAAGGTTTGGAAGGAGTGTGAAAAGGAATCCCCCAGAAGGGCACTTTACTTCTGTATCCCATTGTTTTCTGCTGCTCTTGAGTCTGAAAATCTAGGAATGGGTGAGTTCTCTCTCTCCCACCAGCAGCCCTGTTACTCTCCATGAATGCACATTTGTACTTGACAGTAAGGCATCGTGTAATAGCCATTAGTATTCTCATACACGATCCCAGATGAGCAGGGTATTTTTAGTCCAGTGGGCTACAGGTGCATGAGTCACATGGAGTGAGTCACCCTAATAAATGCCTCTGTTTTCTCTGAGACTTGGGTGAAAGAACACATAGAGCCAACTGTTAAATGAGTGAAGAAAACAGTACACAGACCTCTAAAAAGTTTTGCACAAGCTCTTTGCAAAGAAAGTAACCCAGTATAATCACAGAGGGAGAAAAATTGGCCAGTAGTTCCCCTTATGTCAGCTTCTAAGCAGGGTGTTCCAATTTATTTTTTTAAAAGATTTATTTATTTATGCATACAAGAGCTGGGGTACAGGCCAGAGATGCGGGGGGGGGGGTGTGTGAGAGGATTCACCAGAGACAGAGTGGGGAACTGAATAGGCAGACTGACTGAAATGCACTGCTGAGGGGAGCAGCAGGAGAGACAGGAGAGGTCTGCTGTGCCATGTGGGTTTCTCCCTGGCCGGCTGGGGATCGAACTCGTGCTGCAGAGGCTGCAGATTGCTTCATAGTGCTGGGCTCAACCCCTTGCGCCACCAGGGAGGCCTGGGTGTTCCAATATAAATTATTTTATTCTGACTTTAGTCTACCCAATTTAAATGCCACAGACATTTAGTGAATGAACTTACTCTGGGAACCATCAGTTCTCAAAAAGGTTTTGAAAAAAAGTCTAAATATTAAATAGTGTTGTCTTATTAATCATATTTTACTCAGTAATTTAGCTATACCAATATGGGAAGTAATCACAACATTGATATAACAAGATAAAATGACTAGCTGTTCACACCTACCCCACAACACTCTACTATAGGTACCTTGTTTCCTTTCCACTTCTAGTAAGAAAATATGTAGGTTACTCATTAAATGATGAACGTCTTTCTTATAAAAGCTGGGGGATATTTATCTCCTTACTTTATAGTCCTTCCCTATATGGAACCCAATATTGCGTGGACTTTAAAGCTTCACTGGGAGATTGACAGGCAGTGTTTCCAAAGACCAGCTTCCACTCTCCTTTGCCCTATATTCTAGGTGTTAGACTTGGTCCTAGTTTTAGAGGGGTGTGTGTGTGTGTGTGTGTGTGTGTGTGTGTGTGTGCAATACCCAAAACAACAGCAATTAAACTTAACTGGCTATCTTGTTAAGAGCAGTACCATCAGCTCAGTCCACCAAGCAGGAAACCTGAGTCATCTCTAAGACTTTCCCCCTCAATTCTTTTCTATTTCTAAGACCTAAGTTCAGATTCGTTCATCTCTTATCTGGTGAAGTGCCATAGTCTCCTAAGTAGTCATCAATCTCTGGTCCCTGATCTCAATTCAGATGCACCTGCCACCAGTTACCTTTCTGAAAATTGAGAATTAGCACAAACATTTCAAAAATACAGACTATTACACTGGGTAGTATAGCAGAGACCTCTACCCTACCATCTTGGCTCGTAGACATTAACATTGGAGTACAGCTGCTTAAGTTTTTTTATTTTAAAGAAATAAAACACCACAAATCTAGGGCAGTCCCTTTGCTCTTTCCTCTCCCCATGCTCCTTTCTTCTCCCTCCCCAGACACAAGCATTCTTCTGAAATTGATGTTCATTATTCATGTTTTATATGTGTGTGTATGTAGGCTTTTATATTTAAAAAATACAAATCACTATTATTTTTGAGATATATTCATCCACTTTAAGTGTTTGTATAAGTATATAATATCGTATTCATTACTTATGATGGCCATTTAGGTTTTTTTCAGATTACAAACAAAACTGCAGTGAACATTCTTGTACATGTTTCTTTGTACAAGAGTTTTCTAGAACAGCGATTCTCCAAGGGGGTGGTACTGCCCCTTTGGTCATTTTGGAATTGGTGAAGACATTTTTGGTTATTCTTGTGATTTTTGGAAGGGTTTACAGACCAGGACTGGGGGAGCCAGATGTTCTGCCTTGATGGGACAGTCTCTCCTGATGAAGAATAGTCCTGTTTCCTGTACAACTTTTAGCATCCCATAGGATACTCATTTCTAGAATCCAACTCTATTTTTCATAAAAACATAATGTACTTTTTGGCACAGTTTAATATAGTAAAATTTCCAGGAATGCAACTCTAATGTAAATCAAGGGGAAATTATACTTATTTGTGGCTTGGATGTCTAACAAGAGTTGTTCATCACGCTAGAAAATCACACGACTGAAGGCAGCCCAGCTCGTGGTATTTGAGTTGCTGTACAACACACCTGCATCAGCCTACATTTGTAGCTTTCACGTTCATGGTGCTTCTAAGTTTAGGTGCAAGCATCTGACTGCTGTACTTCATTATGTATTCTAGTGTAGTGAGCCTGAACATTTGTATATTTAAACATATGCTGTTTTATTATGAATTACTTTCCATTTTAAATTGGCTTCTGTATATGATATAAAGTAGCGATCTACTTTTATTATTTTCGGATTGGGTAATCATTCATCTTAACACCGTCTAAGAAATTCTTTACCCACTGAATCATAAAGCCAACTCTGCCCTGTACAAAGTTCTCATAAATGGGTGATGCTGATTCTGGGTTTTTATTTTATTCTACCAGTCCATGTGTCTTTATGCCACTATCACACTGTTTTAATTACCTTGGTTTTATAATGTGTCTTGCAGCAGTTGGTAACAAGAAAAGCAAGTTTCTATCCTAGTTCTTAAAATTGTTTTCGCTATTCTTGGGCTTTTGCTCTTTCAGATGAATTTAGGATCAGTTTTCAAGTTTCACAAAACATAAGAGATTTTGATTAGAATTGCACTGAATTGATCGATTAAGGAAAACTGAGATTTTTAAATCTTGAACCCTCTCATCCAGGAACATGGGTTATTTCTCTTTTCAGGTCTTTAAAAAAATCTCCAAATACAGTGTCATAATTTTTGCTATAAAAGTCTTACATGTCTTCTGTTGGATTTATTCCCACTTATACATATATACATATGCATACAGATTCCTTTTTATTATGAACATTTCAAATATATTCAAAAGTATGGAAAATAGTGTAGCAAGTGCTCACCACCCAGCTGTAACAATTAACTCATGACCAGTCTTGTTTCACCTTACCCCCCCTACTTATCCACTCCCCCCCATAATTAGGAAGTTCCTAGACATCATTTCTATTATCTGTGTCATGTTTATGTACGTCTATCTTTTAGCAATATAACCATAATAATATCCAATTTTTTAAAAAATATTTTTCACTTAAAAATAAGTAGTAATTTCCTAATATCATCAAATATACAGATACTCTTCAGATTTCCCCAGTTGTCTCATAAAAGGTTTTTTACATTTGGTTTGTTTGAATTGGAATCCATTGCATTTGGCTGCTATGTGTCCTCAGACTCTTTCTTTACACTTTTTGGTGAAGTTTAATACCTACAGACAGAAAAGTATCCAAGTCAGTGGCCTCCCTGGTGGCGCAGGGGTTAAGTCTCAGTGCTATCAAGCTATCACCAGCCGCTGCAGCATGAGTTCCATCCCTGGCCAGGGAGCTAACCCCACATGGCACAGTAGACCTCTCCTGTCTTACCCAGTGCTCCCCTCAGCAGTGTATTTCAGTAGACCTGCTTATTCTGCTCCCTATTCTGTCTCTGGTGAATGATTCTCCTCTGGCCCCACTTCTGGCCTACACCCCAGTTTTTGTATGCATAGCAGTATGAACTCTTGTTTCTAGCTTCTTCTACTTCATTATTTCTGAGACACATCCCAAATACTGGGTATAGTTGTAGTTTGTTCCTTTGTATTGCTTTATACTATTCTGTTGTGTGACTGAATAGATTGTATGGATAAAACCACATTTTATCCATTCTGTCAATGAATTTTTGGGTCTTTATAGTTTTTAATTATTTTAAGTTCCTTATAAATAAATTTTTGTGTTTATCTTTCGGTGAATTTATGTGTACATCTCTGCTGGGAATGCACCTTAGAAGAGCTGTAGCTAGTGTACTTGCATATTCAATTTTATTAGGTACTGACTGCCAAACGGCTTTCAAAGGAATTATAACAATCCACACTCTCACCAGTGGTATCTGAGTTACCCCACATCTTTGTCAACTTTTGGTGCGGTCTAGCATTTCTACTTAACCATTCTGATGTGGGTACCCTATTTTAAGTTTCATTTGCATATTCCTGATGACTAATAAAGTTGAGCACCTTTTCACATACTCATTAGCCATTTGTGTATCCATTTGTCAAGTGTTTATTCTTATTTTTTAACCAGTTTGATGCATCTATTTTGAGAGGTATGTCAAAATCTCCCACTACTTTTGTGGGTTTGTTCATGTAGTGCAGTGATTTTCTCACATTTATCTTTATATTTAAGGCTTTGTTTTAGGCTCACATTTGTTTTGAGTTGCATCTTTTCGCTAAGTGAGTCTTTTTGTGACAGTCCTTATAAGTATTTTTCAAAGTTTTACATTCTGTTTTGTTTGAAATTAATATTACTTCACCAGCTTGTATTTTTTTGTTTGTGTTTTAAATTATGGTTTAAAAAACCCACATAACTTGAAATTTACCATCCCAACCATTTTTAAGTGTTCCATTTAGTAGTGTTAAGTATCTTCACATTGTTGTACAGCAAAACTCTAGAACTTTTTCCTCTACTAAAACAAATTCTATCCACTGAGTAACACCTCTCTTCTCCCCCTCCTCCTTTGTTTTTGTTTTGTTAGTATTTCCTTTGTAAGGCTTCTGTTTTGCTTTGTAAAGAACTGTTTTTTTAAATAAAAATCCCATAGAAGCATCTCTTTTAATAGTCAAATATAATGTTGTATTTGTCATGACTAATGCTATATTTGGGCTTATTTTTACTATATAGTTTGTGTTTTCTATTTTCCTTGCTTTTTCCTTTGTTTCCTTTCCTTCCTAGCTTATGTTTCCTTCCTTTATTAATGTGGAAATTATCCATTCTATTTCTGTTCTTTGGTATTTACCTTTAACATGGATATTTAACTTAGCAAAGCCTACAGGAAATCATTAACTCTTGCTTCCTTCAGAGCACAATAATTATAGGATGACTTCACTTTATCCTTTCTCTTATTCCATGTAACTATTGACAGGCATTTTAGATCTTCCTTGTTAACTCTTAAAAAAAAATTAGTCTTTATTATTATGGGACTCTTTACTATCAGTAATTCCCAGTATTTTCCCCCACCATTTCTCCTTCTATCTCACACCTTTTATTCTTGACTCATTTTCCTTTTTGCTGAAGGATTCTCTATGAGACATAAACTCCATTTCAGGCTTCATGTATCTAAAAACATCTTTATTTTACTCTCACTCTTGTGAGAACCTTGCATTCCCTACAGAGAAGTTCTACTTATCTCTGCAGAGATCTAAGGCCATCTCCCTGTCTAGATTTCTTGTTCATCTTACTCCTTGGGATCTCATACCACATTGTTGGGGGTCTGAACCCCACACTTGCATGTGCTGGTTATTCTTATCTCATCCATGGTCTAAGGAACCTCTTCCAACTAAGTTAGGAGCAAATCTTCAGACCCTATTTCAAAGACAGGTGAACCGTTCCAGGGCCCATCTGATGCCTTGTCCTGGTTCTCTGGAGCTTTGGGCTGGAGAACTTGCCTGTCCAGGGGAGAGTCACTCCTGAGGTCTGCATCTGGTTCCCTAGACCTCTGCAGACCTTGGGCTTAGCTCCTGCTGACCACTCAGGCTCTGAGTTACCTTTGTTTATAGCACTTGAGGATTTCCTGTTATTGCTTTCAAACTCTGCTCTATATTAAATTCTTTTCATTCGATTTTATTGAACATTTCTATGTGTTTGCTATTGTGTGCAGCCATTGCCTTTGGCTTTGTCCCTTTTATTGACCAGAAGCTACTGTCATCTTTCCAGAGCTAGTTCCTATCATTCCTGCACTTGATTTGTGTGGACTTGTTAGCACTGCCTCATTTATTCATGCAAAAATAGATGTGCTGCTTGTAATCTCTGCAGTAAGAACTGGGGCTACTTTGGTTAGCAAGATATAAAGTTCTTTGTCCTTGTGGATTTTCCTCTAGTTGGAGAGACAGAAAATAAACCTGTAAATAACATATAAAAATGTGAGTGAGCTATAGTTTGTGAAACGTACTCTTCAGGAAATAAAGAGACAGGAATCACTGTTTGTCCCTGGTGGTCGGGGAGCCCTATGTGAAGAGGCTCCATTAAAGCTAGATAAGAAGGATGAGGACACACCAGCCCTGAAGGGCAGAGGGTATGTTTGGACCTGGGGGTTATTTCTAGGTAGTAGAAACAGCAAGTCCAAGGAACCAGAGGCAGGGAAACCCTCAGCATCTCTGTGGCCCAAATCTCCAGTGAGCATGGAGATGCCCGTGGGAGCAGTCATGACCCCATGCCTCCCTCTGCCACCCTGAACCTTATGCTTACCAGCCTGCTTCCTTCCAGATGATCCTGTGCAAAGTTACCCCCTTTGTAAAGCCTGACTCCCTACCTCAGTTCCACTGCACCTTGGTTTTTCTGCTCATCAGTCTGTAAGATGGACAGTGGTTTACATGACAGTATCCTCCAGGCCTTAAGCTTCTATCTGAATATCAAAGTCTTGTTGCTTTGTGATCCCTAGCTTTTAGGTGCTGTACATAGTGGGCACATGACACATGTGGATTGAATGAATTTTTTTTTAAAGATTTATTTATTTATTTATACAAGCACTGGGTACAGTCAGAAGCACGGGAGGGTGAGAGAATTCACCAGAGCCAGAGTGGGGAAGAGAACAGGCAGGCTGACAAAGAAATACACTGCTGAGGGGAGCAGCGGGCGGCAGGAGAGGCCTGCGTGCCATGTGGGACCCTTGCCCGGTGGCCGGGGATTGAACCTGTGCTGCAGAGGCTGCGGGCAGCTTTGCAGCCCAGCGCTCAACCGCTGTGCCACCAGGGGAGGCCCTCAATGAATGTTTTGGCTAATTTTTTTTAGCAGTGCATGCTTAGGGCTCCTTTCCAGTTATAACAGCACTTCTCGCAGATAGTAGTTTTTGTGATAGGTTAACCACCAGCGTAAAGAAAACCATCAACGTAAAGAAAACCATCAACTGAAGGAAGAATTTGTTTGCTGAAGACATGTCTGTGGTACTGAAAGATCAGGGGAGGTACTAAAGTGTGATGTTACCCTGGAATAGGATGGATGGTGCCCCCCCCCACCCCAAAAGATATGTCCACAGCCTAACCTCGAACTTATGAATGTGAACTTATTTGGAAACAGAGTCTTTGCAGATATGATTAAGCTAAGGATCTCGAGATGAGATCCTATAAGATTATTGGGGGAAGGGGGGGCGACACTAAACCCAATGACAAGTATCCTCATAAGAGACAGAAGAAAAGGCAGATACAAAGGAAAAGGCCACGTGAAGATGGATGCTGAGGAGGTGGGACGCAGGCACAGGCCTAGAGAATGCCTGGAGCTGCCAGAAACTGGAAGAGGCAAGGATAGATTCTCCTCTAGAACCTCTGGAGGGAACACGACCTGGCTGGCACCCTGATTTCAGACTTCTGGCCCCCAGGACTGAGAGAATAACTGGGTTGTAAGCCATCTAGTTTGTTAATACATATCCCTTTGCATCATACCTCAGTTACCTCTTCTGTAATGCAGATAGAGTAATCCCTGCCTCTGAGGTTTACTGCCATGATCAACGAAATGTTTAATGTTTAATGTTCAAAAGTAGTGATGAGCCTTCTTCCGCCTCTCCTCCTGGGGGTGGGAATTTGCTTCCTTTTGTGATTAAAAACTGAGCAAGAGATTTCTGTCCTGTGATTGCCTGGTGAATCAAAGCTCGTTCTGTGGACTTAACCTAAGAACTTCAACTTCTCCAAGGCCCTAGAGTCCTCAGGTCTCCAGCCTTAGTCCTCACTGAGGGCTCCTTATCAAGGACTGTTCCACTGTGGGTTGGGGGCAAATAAATTCACACTGTGGCACCAAACTCTAAATGATCCACATGGAACAGATAGCAGCCTTAATCTTCACAAAGAAAGGTTTTGTGTTCCAAATCTCTGATTCTGATCAAGAGACTCCGGGCATCAACTAATCTTCCTAATATACCAATCATCAAAATTTCCCCGTAATGAGTGCAGACTTTCTGTATTTGTCTCAGTGCCTTCCTGGAACCTAGAGCTCCAGGACCCCTCCTCCTGCCAGGGCTGAGCTGGGGCAGCTCTCACAACCCCCCCGCACAGATGGCTGGCACTGTGCTCGGAGTCGGGGCCGGCGTGTTCATCTTAGCCTTGCTCTGGGTCTTCGTGCTGCTGCTGTGTGTGCTGTTATCTCGAGCCTCCGGGATCGCTAGGTAAGGCATTCTCTCCAGCCGGGAGTCCGAGGTAAAAGCAATTAGAAGCGAAATCGCTGACACTCATTAAACATTTAGAATTCAGAAGATCATTTTTGTAATTACTGGCAGTTTGAATGAGTTGCATTTTAACCTCTTATCATAAGCACTCACTGTGTTATTTATGCTCCGAAGCAAAGGTGGGAGGAGAAGGGAAGTGGTGTTTTTCAGTTCTCACCTTGGAGGAGATGGGGACACAATAGCTAAAACGAAAATCTGCTTTCACCGCCTGTTGAGTTTCTCGGGGTTGGGGGTGTGTGTCTTCATTGTGCAGACTTATGGCAGATGCTTGCTCTAGGCCTGGGCTGGGGACACTGCCGGGGGCAGGGTTGGGGGCGAGAGGCAGCTTGGCTCTCCCTGCCTGGTGTTGGCTTCAGAACAGTCAGGCCATAGCTGACTACAGCGTTGCACTCTCTGTCCAGATAGTGTTGGTATAAAGCGTGAGTTACGTCATTTGTTTAAACATTCTGGTCTGAAAACAAAAACAAGCTAGTGAGGGGCTGCTTTGGTGATTATGATTGCACCGAGACTGGATGAAAGCCTTCCAATCCCCATTCTGGGGCATTTGCAATTACCCCGATCAACCAGAAGGCATCCAGCTGGTACCAACTAGGAGGAAGGGCTTGGGGATGAAGGGAAGACGTTTGTGGGTACACTGGGCAGCACTGGCCTTGTGAATGGCCTGAGACATAGAACATGGGCCCCAGGGAAGAGCCAGTCCAGACCTGACAGTGCTTTGAACTCTGCCTTTCGCCCCAGGTACTCCATCATTTTCCTGTTTCTTGGTGCTGTGCTCATCACCTCGGTGCTGTTGCTCTTCCCCCGAGCCAGTGAACTCCCAGCCCCAGAGGTGGAAGTGAAGGTAAAACTATTGCTTTATTTTGCCATCTAAGCTATAACTCGTGTCTCTTGGTCTAGCTCTCCAACCTGCCCTGCCTTGTGCCCGGATGTCTGATGGGTTGAAATGTGTAAGGAGAACTTTAAAGTCAAAACAATGGTGGAGGATGCTCAGAGGAAGTCTTGATGCCCCTCCTCCTTCACCCAGGAAAAGAATCCTATCTGGGACCCCACTCACAGCGGCAGCGCCGGGCAGTCATTTGTCTGGTTTGATCCCGGCTCCAGTGCACATTAAGTTAAATGAACAATGTGTCCAAAAGCCACCTCATGTCATGGCTCTGAAATGGTAGCCTGTGTTCAGAAACTCAGCCTGGGCTTAAATTTCTGCAGTGCCCTCAGGGTTCTGAGCATCATGCTTTCCCGTGTTTGAACTTTTCATTTTGTGATTGGAGAGAAGAATTTTCATAGAGATGTACAGTGAGGAAAGAGGAACATCTCTATGAAAGCACAAGTGGGGAGAGATAAATTCAGTATTAACAATCTCACTCACAGAACCACATCTGCCAGCACCACCTTCAGATAGATCTGTACCATCTCTCTTAAACAGTCTTTCTCTAAAGACCCCAGTCTGATTTTGGGCTCTGGTTTGGCCAGGCATGATGATCTCAGATCCCTATGATCTCAACATTAACTTCTTGTGACCCATTATCCCTACCATTTGCTTTTTTCCTCTCAGCTTGTTTTAATTTTTCTAGTCATGATAATAGCTGACATATATAGGGGATTATTATGTGCCAGATCCTGTGTGAAGCACATTTGCATTCAAACCTCACTCAGGATGACCCCAAGTAATATGAAATTGGCACTATCATTATCCCTCTTTTATAGGAAAAGACACTGAGGCTGTAAGAGGTTAAAGGTCATACATGTACAGGAAGAGGCAGAGCTAGGATTCAAGCCTTCATGGTAGGAGACTCAGCAGACTCTTAGGCGCCATCACAGAGAGTCACAGGACACCCACAGTGTCCAGAGGGTGACTGGACACTAGACTACAATACACAAAATTCTATGACTTCTAAACTAAAATTGGCACACATTTCCAACCATAGCAAGGAGGAAGTGAGTCTTGAAAACACCAAGGGAAATAATCCTCAGCACACATATAGATGGAATTACTTCCTCACATACCAGGTTTTGGGTCAGCATTTGAAATCCACCTGCATGGCATCAATACCACCTGTGTAAGCTGGGAGGTAAAGTCCCACCTCAGTTTCCCTGCCTTAAAGCAAAAGCTCAATGAGGATGCCATGTTTCTGGACAGCCGCAGATGGGGAGATTGGAGAAGGAAACAGAGCAAAACCTGTTTTGAAATCAGCCCTCTCTCCCACCATCATTCTCTCCTGACTTGCAGACCCAGGAGAGAAGTTTGGAGTTTGAGCAAAATATGTTTGTCAGCATGGCCAGCAGAATTGGAGTTCTCATTTCAGGTTTTGAGAACTGGTCCCTGCAGCAGCCTGGCTCAATACTGTATCAATAATACATGACCTGGGCCTTCTGCACCCAAGGCCTGCTAATTGGCTAATTAAAAAGTGAAACGTGTCGAACGAGCAAACATGTAGCCCACAAGAGACTTGTTCTGTACTGGAGCCAAGGTCAAAGTTATGTTAAAGCTGTGTTATCAAACTGACCTTTGTTGCAAGTTGGCTGTTGGGGGTAGTCTCTGGAGCAGCCCCTTTTCTTCCTAGTGTCTTGGATCTCAATGATCACAGAGTGCTTGGACTTGACAGGTGCTGTGCGCGTGGCTACTGTATTAGTCTCCTATTGCTGCTGTAACAAATGACTGCAAACTCAGTGGCATCCTGCTCACAGATGAACAGTTCTGTCAGCTGGAAGTCCAAAATAAGTCTCACTGGGTTAAAACCAAGCGGTTGGCTGAGCGGTACTCCTTTCTGGAGGTTGTAAGAAGAATCTATTTCTCTTGCCCTTTCCAGGGCCACCTTGGATTATGGTCTCCTTGTTCCATCTTCAGAGCCTGCAGGGTAACACCTTCCAATTCTGCTTCCATCCTCACACCGCTTCCTCTGATCCTCTCTTTTGCCTTCCTCTTCCACTTTTAAGGGCCCTTGTGATTGCCTTGTGCCCACCTGGATTGGATAATTTAGTCTAATTTCCCTACTTGCAGATCACCTGATCATCCCTGGTTCCACAGCCTTAATTCTCCTCTGCCATTATCTCCAGTTTCTGGAGATCAGGATGCGGTGATTTGGGGGTCATTATTCTGTCCACCACAGTCGCTTTTTAGGTATCTTGGATTCTCTTCTAGGTACTGGGCTTTCAAAGCTCCTAACAAGCTATAAAGTCACCTAGTTTGTGTTGCTGCTGCATTAAGTCTGTAGATTAAATTGCCTTTTTTTTTTTTTTCCTAAAACTAAAGCACCACCATTTGGATGTGGGGAGAATAGAACTCTGCAAGTGAGTAGAGCCAATTAGAGGGTTTTGTCAATAAAGACCAGCAAATTTGGATCCTCAAGCATTACAGGGGGCCAGGCAGCCATCTGTAAGATTTGGGGTCAACTTACCTATCTTCTGAGTCTTTTAGTATCGCGGGGGATGTCTGTTTTCCCTAGCCCTTCGAATGCTGAGTTATGAATATTAGGATTCAGAACTCTGATGCGAGTTTGAAAAGTCACCTTTGCATTTTCAAAGTGAAGCTTCCTGAATTGGCAGTGGTTAATGATTTGGGGGGTTGATTTTGGGTATATAGGGGTTTATTGTATTGAGACAATTGTATTTTTATGCATATTTACAATTTTCCCTAATAAAAAAGTGAACAACAGAAAGAAGCCTTTCTAAAATCTAGCTCGCAAGCTTCTCATTAACCCAGGTAACTGATTTCAGAACACAACAAGAATCACACGAGGTCCTCACCATCTTTATGAACCTCCTGCATTAAGCCATGTCTTCCCTGTGCTTCTTTAGTGCTTCCTTTGGCTTGTATTTCCAGCCTAGGGAATTGAGAAAATGTTCTTTCTTAACCACTTACAGGATGTTACAGGAGGTTACAAATATGGACAGAATCCCGGTCCCTTCAGCGAAGACTTCAGAGGCACACAGCAAGCCAGCATGCTGACATGCAGTCATTTCATTTTCAATGTTTCTCTCTCCAGATTGTGGATTCCTTCTTCATTGGCCGCTATGTCCTGCTGGCCTTCCTCACTGCTGTCTTCCTTGGAGGCCTCTTCTTGCTTCTGATTCATCATATCCTGGAGCCAGTCTATGCCAAGCCGCAGCGTTCCCACTGAACACTGTTCGAGAAAACCGAGACCCTGTTCTCACCTCTGCTTAGATGTCACCAAAGAGCAAAACTCTGCCGCAGCGGTGTGCCTCGTGCCTCGAGGTCAAGGAACCTTCATTGCCGGACAAATCCCTGGAGTCCTGACCTCCAGAAATGAGGTTGCGAAATGTTCCCCACACAGAGTCTCACCAGCGTAAGAGGACACTGCTGTCTTCTTAGCACCCAAACCTTGGGTTTTCCATCTGTGTTGACAGGGAAATAGTAATGATGAGCTGCTTCGAGTAGGTTTTCAACCAAGATGTTAATAAGCAATTTGGGAAAAGGAGCTCTTTGACTTCTGCTGTCTAGTAGATGGAAGTCCTTTTTGATCAGATGTACATCTCTCACTTACAAGGCGAGGGCCAGGGGCAGTTATTCCTACCCTGGAACTGGCTCTTTCTTATTCAGTCTGGAAAAACATTCCAGATGAGACTTTGTCAAAGAAAGCCATGAAGGAAATAGTTTATCTGGCCTAGAACCCATAGGGATCATTTAGAAAGGATGTCACTCAGAGTTCAAAAGCCTCTGTGAATGGGCTGATGGTCAGCGTTGGTTGTGGACGCTCTGTGCTGGCGCTGAGGGCTCTCTGAAGGCCTGCAGGACAACAGTCCATGGACCTTCATTCAAACTCTGGGCCACAGCTTTCTGAACCCCCTCTCTCTGTATTTCAAGTTGATATGGGGATTAGAGGAAGGCCGTGGAAATACTGATTGTCTTGCTGCTGGGTATCTCTGGATTCTTATTCTCCCAGAATCTGGTGGCCTGTGCCTTAAGAATCCACTTGAGGGTATTGTCGTTTCTCCCAAAGCAGGTGAGGAATGTATATGCCTAGGATTAGGTATAACTGTCTGCCAACCTGAGATCCCAGGCCAAGTGAAACTCAACATTATACGGTGGGTGCTCTGGGCTGGTCCTGCCTCCCTTGAACTATTTGAAGAAACATCTTCAAGCTTAAAATTACGAACCAGAAATAAATGGGAAAAACATTGAGTACACGCTATGTGCTATTAGTAACTAGTTCCTTTGAAATACAATTAATTTAATCTCTATAGCAATCTCTTGTCATTCCCATTCTAAAGTAGGAAAGAAGTGCGTGTGACCAACTCCAGGGCCTGGGTGGGACTGAAAAGAGAATACTGAACTTTGTGGGACTTTGATGGAGAACTTGAGGACGCAAGCTCCACTCTCTTTCTCGCCCAGATCCTGTTCAGTGAGGGTCCCTGATCCCTCCACCCCAGCAGACACAAAGCTCTGCATCAAGAGAAGACAGAGCTGGTGGCTTCAAAGCATCAGGGGCTGGCGAGGGTCAGGGGCAGTTATTCCTTCCCTGGATCTGGCTCATTCTTATTCAATCTGGAAAAACATTCCAGATAAGACTTTGTCAAAGAAAGCCATGAAGGAAATAGTTTCTTTATCTGGCCTAGAGCCCCTAGGTAGGGAAAGAATGGAGAACTATCCTCCAAGCAGACTGGAGCAGAGAAAGGAGAATGCAGAGACCTGAAGAAAGTAGGGGGAGCTGGGTCAGGCCATTGTGCCCCCAGGACACCTGCGCTGAAGCTTCAAGAGGCCTGCGCAGAGGGCTGAGCCAGCCCGGGGAACATGGAACCTCAGCAGGCACAGGACGCCCTGTGTCCCTCTCCTCAGAGACTTGCTGAAAAAAACAAGTTTAGGAAAATGTCCAAGTTAATGACCAAATCCATCTTTTTTTATACCCCAACAAAATTATCCAACAGCTAGATCAATGCTATGATGTTCTGGGTGACTATCAACATGGAGAATATGTTTTAACATCAGAAACTAAATCCTCACCCAAGTACCATTATTAATTCTTTTTACACAGATGTAAACGACTAGTTTATGTGCTTTAGGCAAAAAAATATGCTTTGTACAAAGTGTATTTCAGTTTGACCTCTCTCCTACAGATCCGCAGGTCCTAATCAACTGTGGCGAAATGAAAAGTTACTTTCTTCCCTCATACTCAAAGCAGTCCTCTCCACCCCCCACCCCCAACAACCCCAAAGAGTTGAGGTAAGAAGTTTAAGGCCAGAAGGCACAAGATGAATTTCACTGAGAGTTCCAGGTGGGACACCCATATAATCAGTGCATAGTGTGGCACCCCTTATGTTCATGGCCTTCCTGGAGACAGGACTTAGAGGTGAGCCCCAAAATATGAACACAAATCATCTTAGCATCTCAGTCATCATTCTTTGGTTGTGCCAGGCTATGCTCTTGTGCCTCAGCAGGGCTCTCTCGTGGTAATTGATCCCTACTGGTTAGCAGGTGGAGAAGGAGTAAATCGAGGCTTCGCTCTAAGAAAACAGGTTATTTCAAAGCCTCTTAAAACTGTGTCCTAACAAAGCCATGGCTGCAGAAGAGGCCAGCCCGTGATGTGACGTAGGAGTTCAAGACAGGCCACCCCCAAATATACCACTTTGGTATAGCGATTTATTTTTGAGTGATTTAATTTGGAAAACAGAGAATTCAGGAATAGGTTTTCTGTGAACCCCTCCTCTATCTAAAGAGACATCTTCCTCAGGACCTGGAGTCCTGCAGACACACACACACACAGTTTTGTCAGCCAGGGAAGAGTGATTATCATGGGATGGACACACCACACCAGACGACTTTGTCTCTAACTTTCACACTGCCCATGGATTTTTCTCAGGGCCCGTTTGTCTTTTCTAAGATGATTTACTGTTCCCTGAGAGGCCTACACTCTACCTCCCCTTTGCTTGAGAAGACCTGTATAATCCTGAACTCTAGCCACCCGAGGAGCTCTGTCCCTTGTGTATCCATTATAAACTTAGGTTTTTCTCTTATTAAAAAAAGAAAAATTATATCCTGACAAAACTAACAAGACACCATCCCCTCCCCACAGTGGAGATGTCTGTCCTCTCCGCTAGGTGGTGCTGTGTTCTCTTTCAGATTTCTCACATCAGCAAAACCCTAGATAATTTTTTGACAAGTTCCTTTAATTTCTCACGTACAGAATGGAAGTAAAGCTAGGATTCTTAACTGGTGCACAGTATCACCTATTTAATCTAAAAATTCATCAGAATCACTGCCGGCATTTAGGTGCTAAGGAACACACACACACACACACACACACACACACACACACTGCACACAATGCATGGTGCCATTAATTCCACATTTTTGTTGTGCCACTGAATAGGAAGTGCTGGCCCTGGGGAGTAAGCCCGTCCAAGAACTTGGCTCCGAGGTGTCTAGGCTGTCTTCCTGGCTCCATCCTGGGCTAAAGGATTCTAAATTATTTTTTAATGGTTTTTATCCTAACATAAAGTAACTACTTGCTTGTTTTGCTCTTTAAGACATAAACTTTTCTACCCACTATCTCATTGCTACTATAACAGAATCACTTTTCATTTTGATTCTTGTTCACTGTGCCAAGAAACCTACAGCAATTAGTTTACAGATGAGAAACAGGCCGAGAGGTGAAAAGTTTCAAAAAATGTCACAGCTAGTTAGTAGCGGGGCTCAAACCTGACGTCAGGATTCCTGACTTCTCATCTGTCTGATAGTTTAAAAATCATTTCTGGCTTCCAAACAACTCCTTATTTTCACATTCGTTAATTGTATCTTTTAATTATCTGTGCTTAATATTTTCCTAATCCATATTCAAAAAAAGGTAAAAGTTTCATTAAAATTTCCCAGTTAGCATTTGTGGTACAAACCTTTTGTCACAATTTTTTGGCTTAAACCTCTAAGTATTTGGCTGTTGTTACATATGAGCAAGTTTCCAGACATGGGAATGGGAACTGTATGGAAATGAATCTGGAAAATAATTGGTTATCCTCACAGGAGCATGAAAACTCCAGGTTGGAAGGGATTTTATAGTTCGTGGAGTTCAACCTTTAATCTGTATTTCCATCCCAATACTTGGGAATATTTTATTTTTCACATGCTGAAATCACAGTTTTTTTTCTATTAGCAAATACAAGCTAGACATTTTTCCTAAGAGTTTCAAGTGTTTACTTTTGTAACCCTCACCAGCAACTCCATGAAGTAGGCACTCAAATATCATCAGGACACCCCATTTCACCAATGGGAAGAGTGATAAGGTGGATTCGCTTGAGGTCACTGAGCTATGGATGATATAGAAATCAGGATCTGAAGTCAGGCACTTTGGCTCCTGAACTACTTTATATTATACGAGGTTGCCTTATAAGATGAAAAAAGAGAAAGGAGTACCGAGGCCAGACAATGCAGATGCAGACGCTAGAAATACCAAAAAGCAGCTGAGTCTAGTGTAAAATCCAGACTCTCAGGAATAGCCAGGTGTCAGCAGCAAGGTAATTAAAAGCTGCAGTGACCTCAGAGACAACTTCACCGATCAACCCTGGTTTGGGTTGGAATCTGGCCCTTTGCTAAGAGAGTCTAAACAATGGACTAGCTTGTAGATTGAGTTTTCAAGGATATAGCTAGCAATCTGTCTTAAACGTGGTCCACCTGAGGAGTTTGATACTTGGGTTGGTTTTTCAGAGGCCCATGGAAGAGTTAAAGCCACAAGCTTAAGAATTAAGAACATTGGTGCTTTTTCATCTGCATCTGGTAGTTCATGGGGGCTGTTGTCCTCAAGGAAAAAAATGATTCCCAGTCCCCACTGCTTCACGCCCCCCACCCCCCCACTTCCATCCAATGCACGCCATCTTGTCTCAGTGTCCCGGGACCTAAGAAATGACAACACGGACAACCTCTCATTTTGCTGGTTTTCATCATATCATGGTGGGTTTTGTAAAGTTTGTGCATTTAGCCAGCTTCTGCCTTCACAGAACTCTTGGGGTAGTGATATGCGTAGGCTTTACCTCTCCCTAAATGCTACCTGGCCTCCCCTCAGCTTTTTTTAAGTTATTGGTTTTCCTGTGTTCTTTTCCCACCCTCAGATTGATGTCGCCCCAGCTTTACACGTAACTGTTTCCTACCGCTGCTGTAACAAATTACCACAAACTCAGTGGCTTCAAATGATACCGATTTATTATCATATAGTGCTGGAAGTCAGAAATCTAAAACGGGTTCACGGAGCTGAAACAAAGGTTTAGGAGGCTCCAGAGGAGATCCTACTTCCTTGCTTTTTCTAGCTTCTAGAGGCCACCCCCACTCCCTGGCCACATTCCCGGGGCTCCCTTCCTCTGTTGGCAAGCCATCATCTTCCACTCTCCCTGACACCCACACACTTGGCTCTTCTTGGAGCTCTAAGCAACCTGATTACTTTGGGCCCACCCTCATCATCCAGGGAGTCACCCACCTCATGGTCCCAGTCACTTCTACAAAATGTTACTTGCCATGTATTCGCTAGTTCTGGGAATTAGGATAGGGTCCCCTCTGGAGGGGGGTGTGATATTCTACCTGGCACAGGATATAAGCTCCATCTTTCATCTCTAAGGCTGGCTTCCGCCACCCCCCATCTCCCTATCCCTGCTCCCCTTTATACACCAGGTCTGCCCCCTTTATCTCTAGACCCCCCCTCACCAGTTCTTGGGGTTCCTACCTGGTACCTATGACGTATGCATTTCCTTCCCCTCAGCTTTAGTCCTAGTAGCAGCCTCACTTGCTCACATCTACCCAGAGCTTCTTCCCCTTTCTTTTCACTGCTTCTTTCCTTTTCTCCACACCCCCCCCCACTAGCCCAGCCTCCCAGTGGATCTCTAAAGGAGAAATGCAAAGAGTTATTGCTTTTTAATTACAAGTGCTATTGTAACATCTATAAGGAAGAACACTTTAAGCTTAATTGAGACCAAATGTGAAGTTAAATTAAATGAATAACTAATTAACGTAATGCTCCTGCATCAGCCCCGAGTGAGTGCCGAGGCCCAGGGAGTAGGCAGGTGCCAGGCCTCTGGGGAACAGTCCGTGCCCAGAGCTGAGGTGGGGCAGGGAGCCTGGGACCTGGGAGATTGGCAGAGGGCAGATCTCAGGGCTGGGTTCCCCGCTCTTTCATATTTTGCCCAAACTCCCAATGGCAAGCCCAAATCCTCCTTTCTGAGGCCGGTTCTGAGGTCTCCCGGTGCCTCGCACACACTTACCCCACACTTACCCACTGGGCCTGTGCTGGGAACTTGAACAGTATTATATTAATTTTAGCTTCCTCCCTCTCCCACTTCCCCTCAGCATCTCATCAGACTAAGCACCCAAGTCCTGCCCTGCCGCCCTTCATACACCTGGCACATTCATCCTTCGCGTTGGCCTGCGGTCACTCTCGGGCCAGCCCTGGCCCTTTGGGGCCAGACCGAAGACTGGCGAAGACTCTCAGCTTGAGTCATCATCTCTAGTGCTTTTTCTTGTACTGTTTACATACATTTTCATATTCCTCTTATCCCCTAACTAGCCAAACTCCGGGGGGCAGGGAGAGTTTAATTCTGCTTTGTCTCCCTTCGCACCTTTCCTAGTGAGGTAGGTCATGTGATTACTGTTTCCTAGTTGAGAAACAGGTTTGAAGCTAGTAAGTGGTGAGGCTGGGGAAGAGAAGCCCTCAAAAGTGCCAAAGGAAGAACAATATCTTATTCCTTCCCCACCCTAACTCGTCTGCAGCAGAAAGCAAAATTGGCTGAAAGTTGGCCAGGGAAGAAACCTGTGTCCCTGGGGGTCTCCCCACCTGGAAGCCTAAAGGGAACACAGGCCCACACAGCTCAACCACGGGGATGTGGCGCCACCTAGTGGCTCCCCTGAGGATGCTCTCAGAGCTGCCTGGTCTTTAAAGACGCACTCCTGAATGCCTAACCTAATGCCAAATCCCCAGCTCCTGCCAGAGGTTGGGAGGTTCTCCTTTCAGAGCTAGACTGGAGACCTGGTAGTTTGAGACTTACCCACTTGTCACCACTGGTGTGTGTATGACACAGTCTCACATTGTGGAATTTATACCCAGCTAGTGCACGGGCTCATATAGTGACCCAGTTAATGTAACCACTGTATCTTACCTGGGCTGGAAGCCCCTGCTTTGTCATCCGGGTTTGTCATGACCCTCTTCCCTGGGGATGTCAATGGGAATCAGCCTCAGCTGACTGACCATATGGTCCTGGTCCCCCCGGCCCGTCCAGCCACCCACTGGGCCACAGCTTGCTGCTGCTCTATCAAGCCCTACCCAGACGAGCACAGGCACAGGGGCAGAAGAAATCTGAATGGGTGCCCATGGGCAGCTTCAGAGGTCGGCCAGAAATGCCAAGATGCGTGCCATGCAGCAAGCTAGGATTTGGGGTGGCGGGGGTGTCAGGGGGGATAACACCAGGGAGAAAAAATAGGCTCAGATCTCTAATGAACCAGGCAGCATTCTCTCTAATTAGTCCTGTCCCCCAGTACCTATGCTGTCCTTTTCCTGTGTCCATTCCTCCAGTAAAACTGGCTCAGTGGACACTTGACAACCACTGGCATTTCATTATTAAACACTTAATGCACAGGGGTAGCTTATAGTCATGCCCCTCTGTGCCCTCCTCTCACCCCACCACTGCCCTGAAACGTCTTCCCCAGGGACACAGAGGGCTGGGTGGCAGGCAAGGAACCTCCCAAGATGCCTCCACTAAATCTGGTACCCATGGCACTCTCCTGGCCTCCCCCTGTGCTAGGCCTGGCAGACACAGCAGCCATGCTTTCATCAAAATGGTTCAGGAGTCGGGAGCAGGATCCGATGGAGGGTAGAGCAGGGGGTCCAGGGTGGGGTGATGTACAGAGAAGACTGAATTCGCAGACAAAGGGACCAAGAGAAGCGGGTCAGCTTGGAAATACCCATCTATAGGCACAGGCTGATTACAGAGGTTAAAATTGAACACAGGAAGGACACACGAACCTTTTCCAGGCCTTGGCCCTGGGACTTAGATTCTGAATAAGCAAGAGCCCAAGCATCTCCTTCCCTCACTAAGATGGAGGCACCACTCAGTTCTCATCCCCAACCCTTCTGCTGGCATCTTTCCAAACTCAGGCCCTTGAGTCTTCTGTTTCCTCATGCTTGGCAGTCCCTTCCCATGGAGAATGTCCTGGTTCCATAGCCCTGCGGGCTGGGTTGGGCCAACTTGTGTTGTTCAAGAGGCTTTGAAGCAACTGTCCATTCTGTAGCAGTTTCCATTGTCTTGCCCCGGGGGAGCACTTTGGGACCCAGTTGGGGCCCTCCATACTTCCCTTCCAATCAGGGTCTCATATTTCTTTGTAGCTGCAGGAAAAGGGGAGAGGGGACAGAAGAGGTGAGATACAGCTTAATAGGCTCCTGCCCCATAGTGGGGACAGAAGGCAGGCTCCTAAGGTCCCTGAATAATTAACTTTCATCTCTGTTCGCTATATTTGGGACTCCCTTTCACCTCTTCAGCAGGGAACAGCAAGTCAGAATTGTATTTAAAACCTTACAATATGGTGCTACATTTGACAGCTTTACAAAGTAGTAACGCATGTCCCAGCTTGCCTCAGCCTTTGATCAACCCTGTCAGGTATTTAGGAATAAGTATCCCCATTTTCACACAAAAAATGCAGAGAATCAGGGAATATGCCCAAGGTCTTATAGAGGAATGTGAGCAGAGATGTCAGGTTGGCCCAGGGATTTCTAGTTCCACCCCAGTGCTCCCTCTGTCGCTGCAGATTACTCTGCTCCCTTACACACGGGTCTTCCTCAGAGGGGGAGCGGCTGAGGACAGAGCAGAATGGAGAAAAGCAAACCCCCACACACCTGAGTTCAAATGTAGGCTCTGCTGGGACAAGCTGAAGGCCTTCAGCGAATTCTGAGCCTGTTTTCTCCAAGTGAGAATACCGACCTCTCAAGGTTGCTGAGAGGTAAGCTAAGATATTTAAAGTCAACCTCAGCTCAAGGGTTAGAGGAGATCATTATTTCCTTAATATTCATTCTTTGTCTTTCTGCTGCTTTGCTTTCCTGCCCAACCTCCCCTCAGGCCTGGCCCAGGTAGAAGGAGCACTAAGCCTGGAGTCCTGATCCCCCAGCTCCCTCCTCCAGGCAGGCAGGGGCAGACTCTCTGAGTCCCTCCTGCTCTCAGCTTTTCACCCTGTGAGCTGATATGGTTCTAGCTACCATGACCCTGGGATCCTTCCACATCCATTTACCATCCTGACCAGTTCCACTGCTCCAGCCAGCTCCTTGTGAGCCAGAGCCTCCTACTCAAGAGGACCAGAAAGGCCACAGGAACACAGTGCGACCTCAGGATCAGTGAGGCTGGGCTCAGCCACTAACCAAACTGTGCAACATCCGCACCCACCACCGCAGGCTCAGGCAGAGAGCACACCGGACCACCACCAGGGCTTGATTCAAACTTTGTTCCAGAAAGTCTGATTAGCAGTTGCTTTATTCTGCACACCCCAGGCCAAGGACCAGGCGACCTTGGTTTATGAACTTGCCGCCCACTGAATTCCAAGAAAGAACCATTTCCCTGGACTGCGCCTCCTCTGTCTGGGGGGTGCATCTAAAGCTGAGTCTGGTCCTAAGGGGGAGAAGCTACCAACCTCCATGGCAGCTCAGACCCCTTAGGAAACATTTCCCAAGCATCATGCTCTGGCCAGGTTCAGAATCTTTGCAACTGACCCCCAAGGTTGGAGAAATCACATGGAGAAGAGGATGGCATGCAGGCTCCCTTCTAACAGCACGTGAGTCCCGGATTTGAAGAAAATACTCACAAAGGTGATGGGACTGGAGGAAAATACTACCGTGGGTGGGTGAGAGCCACACTAGAGCTACGGAGACACACGGGGACAACAGAGGACAGGTTAGTGGGGCGAGGGGCGGGGCTCAGTGTCGCCCGGGTCGGGGCTGGAGCTGGGCTCACTCAGGGTAGAGATCTGCGGGCCAGAGGTCCTGATCCCCATAAACCCCCATAGGGGGAGGTGGCTTCTGGAAGACTCACCCTCTGTTTCTGCTCAGGGACCCCTTCCAGGCCAGGATCTCCTTGTACACCAACCGGCAGAGGAACTGTAGGGAGTCATAGGCACAGAGGGAAGGGAGGCCACATCAGCATGGAGCACGTGGTAGTCCCCAGTGCCATGTGACCAGTGGGTTGGCAGGAGGGGAAAGGGTGGGCACAATTTCACTGGGCAGGGGGTCACCCACGAGAAGTAAAAGGGGGCTGAGCAAAAAAGGCAGCTGTTCTCATTGTCTCAGAGTGTCTAATGCCTTGCCTCTGGCAAGACAAGACATCTCCTAAACACCCATCCATCTGTGTGCCCCAAGAATGCTTACCAAGCAGGCCAGGATGTCAGCAGAGATGAGCATGTAGAAGACATTGTTCCAGCCCGTGGGGGAAATGAGTCCCGCCAGCAGGGGCCCCAGAGCTGCACCTGTGTGGGGCGCAGGGTTAGAGGGCACCACCAGGCCCTGCCCTCTCTGCCCACTTGAGCAGGGACTGCAAGGAGCAAGCCCAACACAAGGCCCAAGCCAGCGCCAAGAGCTACAGTCACAGACCTATGGACCCAGTGCCATCGATGATGGCCGTGACCGTGGAGAGCGCCTTCGCGTTGCCCTTCAGGCTCTTGTGAGTCCCCTGGGGAGAGAGAAGAAGAGTGGGGAGCCCAAACCAAGTGGCAGGACCAGGATTGGGTGAGGGGATGACTGGGAGGAAGGTAGTGACGGGGGCTCGGATTTGAAAGGAAAGTTAGGGGAGGTGCATGACGGATTCTGGAGGGCTTCGAGGACTCTGCAGACCAGTGGAGGGGGGCGGCTGTGGAGCAATGGTCCTGCACCCCAGAAGGTGGCCTGCTTACCAGGTCAGCTGAGACAGCAGTGGTGATGAGTGCGTAAGGGCCGTTGACCAGGGCCCCACAGATGATCAGCATCGCTGAGGCAGGAACAGAGACAGCCAGTGAGACGGAGGGCCACCCAAAGCAGAGATCCCCAGCGGTAGGCTAGAGCCTCCAGTTCCCAGTGCCTCCCACCCACACCCCCAGACATTCTACCCGGGCTCCCGAGGGAGTGCCCTCCCCACGGTGGCAGGGCAGGGCTTGCAGCTCCACCTCACCTATGGAGCTGACAATCCCGTTCTGGCCGATGTAGTTGTACAGGAACATCTGTGAGAGAAGGGGCGGGACAGCGTCACACCCAGGCTTCCCTGCCACCACCTTTGTCACACTGGAGCCCAGACGTCTGGAACAACCCTCTCCTGCCCTGTAACCCCTAAGGTCACCACCGTCCTTTTCCTGCTCACACCCACAACTCTTGGTCTTTCCATGTCCCAGGGACGGAGGAGATACCACATGATCAACTATTAGTTCCCTTTTTCCAGAAAGCCTTCTCTTCTGTCTAACCTCCATCTCTAGTCTTTCCTTGGTGAGCAGGTTCATAGCTGGCCTCCCCCATCTCCACCAAGGCCAGGGTCACTCATCCCTTTCCAAAATGCTCAATCTGGCTCTCTCGATCCTGGCTTCTCCTCCCCTAGCTGTGCACAGGGTGGGCACACGCTAACACGACAGGTGTGTGCATTAAGGCCTGGGGTGCACACGACTCAGTGGTTCGCCTAATATACACGCATATGCGTGGGCACTTCGCCCTTGGGGTCACACGCACCATGGGGGCAGCCAAGATCAGCATGATGCAGCAGGTGGTGGCCCTGCCGTTGGTGTAGTCAGAGATCAACCCCGCCATGATGCCGCCTGGAAAACAAACCGACTCACCATTTGTCCCCAGGCAGCACCACAACCTCTACTCACACTTGCCTTGCGCTGGTCCAGGCATGGAGAACCAGTAGGGCTTCTCCAGATGCAACACACCCCCCTCCGCCAGCCCCCAGACCCACTGCTGACAGGGAGACCAAGCACGGGCCGTGCCTGTTAGGATCACCCAACCAGGCAGGAGCAGAATTCAGGATAAAACCGGGATCCTCTTCTCTCTGCTGCCACTTTCCCACCCAGGCCACATCCCATGGGACCTGTCCCTTCTCTCTGCACTCCCGTAAGAGATGAGGGGAATCTAGAGGCAGGGCAGGGCAGGGCCTCACCTATGATGCCACCGACATCAAAGAGAGTGGACAGGTCCCCAGCCTCCTTGGCCCCAAAGTGAGCTGTAGAAAACACAAATATATAGTTAAACTAGGGGGCTCAGGACAAACATCCCAAGTGCCACCACCAGAAGAATCCACACAGAGCACCTGATCCAGTCCCACTGTCACTTTGCCAGAGGAAGGAGTGAGGACCCACCGGGAGTGACTGGCCAGCGTCACAAGTGAGCTGGCAGCATTTGGACCGGACACCCTCTCCACTCTGTCCCCCTCCCGTACTCCTACATGCCCTGCAGGATGACCTTGCCCTCTCAGAGCAGCCCTTTCCTCTGGGGACACAATTGTTCTCATGGTGCCTCAGCCAGCCAAACCCCAGGGCCCCACCAGGAGCACTTCACATCCATTAAGTGTGCTAATCAACAGAGGAAAATGGAGACCTCAGGTCCTGGCCTTGTCCTCAGAAAAGGCAACATCCAGGAGCTGGAATTGTAACCCAACCCTCCACATTGACTCATGTGCTAAGTCAGCACCAAGGCCACAAAAGAAAGTCATAGTGTCCACAGAGCTGCCCCAGGACCCTACCCCTGTCTTTGCGAGAGCGGCCCTCGGGTAGAGCTGCGGGGCAAGTTGCAGCCTGAGATTTGACCCTGACCAACCCCATGTATCCTGTTCGGATGGAGCAAGGACAGTGTGGCCGGGCAGCCGCGGCCCTCCCTCGGGGCTGGAGGGGGGCGGAGGGACAAGCAGCTCTGGCTGGGAGCTCTGGGCTGCTCCTTGATAGACTCGCCCCACCAATGGCAAAGTAGAGACTCAGGCCAGGTGGGCATTAGACATCCTTTTCAACCAGGAACCTGACCCCTCCTCCTCTGGACGCCCGTGGACAAGGGCAGAGGCAGGAGAGAGACGGCCCTAATGGGCAGACCAAGTACAAGGCATCAGTCCCGGGAGGCTCCTCGGTAGGGGAGCACAGAGATCACCCCCGGGGCTACAGGAGTGGGGGTAGCTCACCAGGCCCTCTTCCTTGGGCTGGGGAAGGTGCTAGGCACACCTGGAAGTATTCAAAAGGCAGAACTTTTCTAGCACCTTCTAATCCCACTCATCTATAGGCCAAGCATATAGAGGTGGGCTCCTACACTTACCGTTAGAGAAGGGAGGGGTGGTTACAGAACAGAGCTCTGAGTTCCTAACCCCCCAACTCTACCACAGGACAAGGTGACAAGAGTCAGGGTCCGGGTGGGGAGTGTACAAGGGTCAGCTTCCCATTTAAAAAATAATGCTTTTAGTATATTTCAGTCAGACTGCCTGTTCTGTTCCCCACTCTGTCTCTGGTGAATCCTCTCACCCCCCACACCTCTGGCCTGTACCCCAGCTCTTGTATGCATAAATAAATAAATCTTAAAATAAATAATAATGCTTTTTGGCTGAAGAGGGCCCAACAGAAACCCAGCCTGTATCATGGGATCATACACATCACAGAACAAGAGTCCTTTCCCTACGACAGCCCGGGCCTCCCCGGAGACCTTCCTCACCTCTGCTTCCCCTGAACTTACCCACATTGAAGATATAGAGTGGCAGCCAGTACAGGAAGGTGTAGCTAACCAGCTTGGCAAAGAGCAGACACAAAGAGAACTCCACCACACCCTGGGGAGGGAACAGAGGCAAGTGGAAAGGGGTGCCAGAGAACGTTGTTTACCAGAGCTTTCTAGTACTTTCCACCACCTATCACACAAAGCCACCTCCAACACAAATCCACTCTCAGTACAAGCAGGGGGCCTGCTGTTTAAAGGCTGTTCCCAGGCAAATCTCTCATCTGACCCTCCCCTGGGAGGTTCCCCAGCCCAAGTATCTCACGTAAAGAAATTTTGGGAACCATAGATGACCCTGGCCATCACCATCATCTGATGCCCAAGAGAAAGATCTACAGAGCCTCTCTCTGGCCTCCATTCCACAGACTTCTCACCGGGATCCGGAGTGCCCCAAAGAAACTGATGGCAGCAGGCTCTGGGGTTGGTTCCTTGGAGCTCACAGCTACCGGCTCCATGCTGCTGTCCCTGTAGTGTCCGCTGCCAGACTCCTCAAGGTTGTCCTGGCTCTCCTCCGGCCCACCCTGAGCAGAGATGAGTCCCTGCTGTGGGCATGTCCATGGATCACCTCCCACCAGCTTGAGGGAAAACTCATGGAGGGCTGGGGGCTCCTAAGATGGAGAGGGACACGTGGGGAACCATGGAGGTCCACCCAAGGGCACAGCACCCTCCTCCAACTCCCCAGTCCTCTCTTGGAGGGGCACTGCTGGTGGAGCGGGAGGGCAGGTCTGGGGCAGGGGCTTGCACTCACATGGTGCTGAGGAGGGGTGCAGTCCACATCTTCTGGGTCTAGAAACAAACTTTGTAAGAAGCTACCCAGCAGGCCAGACCTTCCCCTTGCACTGAGAGTCACCCCCAACCTCAGGTGGCCAGTGTGCTTCCCACCCCAGGGAGCCGTGACCAGGACTCAGGAGACCAGACTTCCAGGCCTGACTCTAACAACCGGTTCTGTCACTCCTGCCTCACGGAATATGCTTCTCTTGCTACATGCAGCCCTGCTACCCGGCATTGCTGCCTCACAGGCTGTCAGGGAAGTGGGAAGTGAGCAAATGTGGGGACTGCTCACTCTGAGAAAGTCCTTTCAACCCACTAGCCCTCCCGACACCCCAGAGTCAGCCCACTTGTGCCCAGCACCCACCATGAGCCAGGCGCCCTAACTCCATCGTCTGAAAATTTCAACCACCTGAGGAGGTAGCTGTGGTTCTACTCATTTTATAAATGGGAAACTGAGGCTGTCACACCTTCAATATCAAGACCAGTCAGCTGCCATCTCCCAGGACCCGCGGGGAGGGAGGTGTCCACTCACATTCAATGAGGAAGAAGAAGGTGATGACCCCCATGGCAGCGGTGATGATGCCCGGCACCACAAACGACAGCCCCCATGGCCCGTTCACCCAGATGCCTGCTATAAGGGACCCCAGGATGTTGCCCACCGAGGTGTGGGAATTCCAGATGCCCATGATGAGCCCCCGCCTGGAGGAGAGGGAGAAGAGCAAGGAGGGAGAAGAGCAGAAAATGAGAAAACAGGAGCATGCAGCAGGTCATAGCACCCCCCAACAAGTTCAAGGAGCCACTGTAAGGCCTGGGGTCTGGCTCGCCTGGAGGATCCCTGAGCACACACGCATGGGACTTCAAAATGGCGCCCTCATTACCCTGAGAGTGTCCAGTCCCAAGCCCCTTTCTTCTCTCTTGCTCTGTGGATGCTACTGGAAAGCAGGGTCCTCAAGCAGGGGCGATTCTGCCCCCAGGGGACAGCTTACAATGTCTGGAGATGTTTTGATTTTCATGTTGGGTGTGCTACTGGCTTCTAGCGGGTAGATGCTCCACCCACAAGAAAGAACCATCCAGCCCCCATATGTCAATAGTGCCAAGGCTGAGGAAGCCTGGTCTAAAGCAAAAAAGAATTTTAACATCAAAGCCAGTTCAAGAAAAGTAAATACAATTTTATAGTCTTCATGCCCAATGGGAATTCATCTATTATGAGGGAGAAGAATAACAAAGGTTGCCTCTCATGGGTTAAAACGTTATCCATGAAACAACTGACACTGCTTTTCAGTCACTAAAACGTTAGAATCTCAACACGTGAAAATCAGCGAGATGGAGACAAGCTTCTCATCTTTTACCTTAAAATTATATTAAGGGGCCACAAGTGAACCCTCATGACCCCCAGCTCCCTGGGACGCCCCCCACTCTTCTTCCCTCATCACACTTACTTCCCCTTCCCAAACCAGTTGCCAACGCAGGTCACCACTGAGGGCCAGCCTGTGGTCTGGGCGAGTCCATTGCAGATCTGCATGGAGGGAGGAGGAAGGTGAGTGGACAGGCCCAGACCCGGCTGCCAGTTCCCTGTTCTGATCCCTCCCAGGCCAAGGACTCTCAATGTCACAGGCCTCCACAGCCCTTAGTGCAACAGAGGATTTCTCCTTTGGCCCATGATCCTTCGCTGCAGAGACCGACCTCGTAGCCTTCTCAGGGGCCCTGAGGTGGCTTCGCAATGCAGACTCACTGAGCCAACAAATGCATGACCCCGGGAGGGGGGTTCCCTTCTAGCTCAAATCTGCCATGGCCTGGGACAGATGGGCAGGGCTGGCCACCTCCAGGGTCCCGTCTGCCTTGGGAGTAAAGGCCTGAGCGCCCGGTGAGGACTTGTACCTGGATGAGCACAAAGTACCAAAGCACATGGATGTTCCAGAAATAGGCCAGGCCCAGGAGCGAGGTGAAAAGGCCGCTGAGCAGCATTCCGGCTGAGAGGTAATAACGGAGGGGGAGTCGCTCCCCAAAAATCCCACTGGAGAGGAGAGAATTGGATTCGTGGTTAATCTCAGCTCGGCCACTGTCTCTTCCTCCCCACCTCCCCACCAAGAGGGCTCCACCAGGGTGTCCCCATGACCTGTGTAACCACTTGCCAGGACTCCCTCAGTCCTCCCCTCACTAGAGCCCTGCTCTGCTTGACCATGCTCACCCTATTCCTTGCAATGTTCACTCCCTGGTAAGGGTGGGGCTACCGTTGCCCACCTCCCTCCAGCTTGGGGGCACTCCTCATTTATTTTCTCTAGGGAGCAATCTCTGGCATCACTCTTATGGTTTTAACCACCACCAACGCATGAAAAACAGCCCCCACTGCGATCTTCAGTGTGATCTCCCCACCCCCTCCTCAGAGCTTCAGGACCATGTCCAGATGCCTTCTGGACATCTTGACTTGGATGCCAACATCACCATCCCCTACCCCCATATTTGCAACTCAGCACTCTAAAACAGCAATGCTTCCCTGTCCCCCACCTTCTCCTGCACCCTGCTCTGATGAATGACAACACCTCACCCTTCTCCATTCCAGCCACAGACCACAGAGCTACATCCACCCCCTGCTTCACTTTCCTCCCCATCAAGTTCACCCCCCAAGATTCACCCATTCTGAAGCCCCTCTCCGACCTCTGAGCCTTTGCCATTCCATCTCTGCTGCCCTAGACTGCGCTCTAGGGGCTCACTGACTCCTGGCAGATCTGTGCCCTCATGCCACCCTCCCTCCTGTCACCCTCCGAGTGAGCTCTCTGAAAGGTAAATCTGGACAAGGCACCCTGGGTGAACCCTTCAACTCCTCTGCCCACTGGGCACTCACAACCTCACCCTGCTACCACTTCCTGCAGAATTAACACTGGCCAACCTGTGAGCACTTCCCCGACCTGCACCACCAGGTGCATTTGCCCGTGCTATTCCTTCTTCATCTCCCCTCCACAGCCACGCTCAGCTGCTCCAGTCAAGCATCACCTCCTCCGAGAAGCCTCCCTAACCCCTGTCTGTAATCCCAACTCAGACTCAGTGCTGACCTCTGAGCTCCCAGAGGGCCTGCAACCACCTGCCGTCCAGTCCCTATACTCTTTCGTAGCTGCCTGCTGCTGTCTCCATCACCCCATTAGGCTGTGAGCCCTTTAAAGATGGCGACCTGTCTTAGTCATCACTGATGCCAGGCAACAAACACCACGCTTGCTATATAGAAACCATGGTGGTGCTCGTGGTGCTAATGGAGGCTCAGGGCAGCCAGATAGTCCTAGCAATGATCCCAGCCTAGGAAGGCCTGGACTCCCATTCCCATAGGAATGGGGAGGACCCCACTATTTCAGCCCCTCCCACCAACCCTGCCCTCAAAACCAATAAACTCAAAAGGAGCATCCAGGGAAAAACAGCTTCCAAAAGCAGGCGTCTGCAGGAGCAGGCTGGTGCCCAAGGTATGGGGAGGCTGAGGCTGGCTGCCCAAGAGAACATTTCCTCCTGAAGGAGCCCGAGTCCTCCTGCTGCACCCCCACTGCTGCCCCGCCAGTCACGGGGAGCAGCCGCTCTGAACTGTGCTGTTCCCCAGTGGCCCAGCCTCCCCGCTCTCTTACCTGATGAACATGCCGATGGCGTAGGCCACGAGGAAGGCATTGTCCACGGCGCCCAGCAACTCCTTGTAGTTGCTCTGGTCTGAAAACAGAAGGGAGAGACAGGAAAGAAGCTGCAGAAGGCCCTTGTAACTCTGGACAACCTCTCCAGGGAGGAGAGGCCCCTGCCCCTTCTTACCAAATGGAGCCCAGCTACACCACGTGGTGTCATTGGTGCTGTGGGTGCTGTTGGTGGGGTCGATCAGCTGTGAGCAGTTCTGGTGCAGACGGCTCTGGAGAGGCAATGGGACACACAGGTTGAGGGGCATCTGCTTGGGGTCATCTTGTGGCCCAAGAGCCCACTCAGCTCAGAGAGGAACCAGAAACCTCCTTTCCAACTACAGTGCTCTCAATCACTGCCTCCCTAATCCTCTCTCAGCACCTCCTCCTGCAGGAACTGACGACAGGGACCAGTGGCCACAGCAGACCCTCAGCGAAGGACAGGGGGACTCTGAGCAGAAGTCACGTAGCCCAGGGCCCACACCAGCCCCTGACACCGTCTTGGTGAGTAAACTCAAAAGGAGCACCTGGGGGACCTTTCCTGGGAAATGACCTATTAAAAGTGGGATCTGGCCAGGTGAAGGGTAGTCTCGGTGACCATGCTAAGGGTGGATTGGGGCTGAAGTCCAGAACATTCTACTGTTTCTGCTTGTCCCAGCATCTCCCGCCCACATTCTTCCTTACTTCCAGGCCAACCTCACCTTGACAACACTGATGGGCTTCCTGGACATGTGATAACAGGTATAGACAAAGAAGGTGATCAGCAGGATGAAACCTCGGAACCTGCAGGAAATACCAGCATCTACGTCAGCAGGATGTGGGGCTCAACTGGGAATGGGGGCCCAGTATCCTGCCCAGGCTCACGCTGGCAACCCCAGTGCCTCAGCGCCACCCAGTCTCTGTCTTCAGGCTGCCATCAAACACACGTTCCTTGGCACAGAGGCCCAGGGCAGGGGAGAACCAGGGCCCATTGATGGTTCAGGGGCACCTATCTCCATGGTCCAGTTTCCAGAATCTCCACAAAATTCAGGTTGGCACCAGCACCCCACACAGCACACCTCCTCCTGCCAGCTCCCTCACCTCTGCTGTTCTCTGGCTTCCCTCAGGTCAGGGGCCTCAGTGTGTGAGAAAGGGGTAGGGGCTAGCAGGTAGAGTCATTTTTTTTTAAAGATTTATTTATTTATACAGGAGCTGGGGTACAGGCCAGAGGCACAGGAGGGTGAGAGGATTCACCAGAGACAGAGTGGGGAACAGAACAGGCAGGTTGACTGAAGACAATGCTGAGTGGAGCAGCGGGCGAGGCAGGAGAGTTCTGCCATGCCATGTGGGTATCTCCCTGGACAGCCAGGAATCGAACCCGCACTGCAGAGGCTGCAGGTAGCTTTACAGTGCAGGGCTCAACCTGCTGTGCCACTGGGGAGGCTCTAGAGTCATTATTTAAATACCAGAAACGGTGGAAGCTAGTGAGAAGATGACATAAACAAGCGCTGACATAGAAGTATGTCAGCAGGGTCTCGCTGGTGGTGCAAAGGGTTAGTAAGCACAGCACTATGAAGCTATCTGCAGCCTCTGCAGCATGGCCAGCCATGCTCCCCTCAGCAGTGTATTTCAATCAGTCTGCCTGTTCTGCTCCCCACTCTGTCTCTGGTGAATCCTCTCACCCCTTGCTCCTGTATCTCTGGCCTGTACCCCAGTTCTTGTATGCATAAATAAATAAATTTAAAAAAAAAAAGGAAGTATGTCAGCAGCGGGAAGGCTACTGACAGAACCCAGGTCTTCCTAGTCCCAGACTAGACTGTTGCCCTGGATGGAAGGCTCTCCTTCTTTCCATCTGTGGCTCACACATCACATGCACCCTCTCCCACCCCCATTTGTCATGCAGGCACTGATCTGGTATGGAAAGAACAGTTCATCTGGGCACCCCTATAGTTTCCACTGCACCCCCAACCCCTCCCCTTTGCCTGAGGGCCCCAGGAAGGGCCTCAATGGCCCCCTGAGTCACTGTCTGCTTCCCCAGCACAGCATCAGCTGAGTGGAGTCAGCAGCCAAGAACCAGGAAGTGCATGTAAAATAGACCTCAAATGGGCCCCGAGCCCAGGAGAAAGGGCCAGGCATCAGCAGAGACCCAGAACCCCATGGTGCAGCAGAAGAAGGGAAGGAGGGGCCCTGAAGTCCTTTCCACCCTCAGCTTCTTGAACCCAGGCAGGACATTGGAGGCTCACTCAACTGCCTCCAAACCCCAAACTCACTTCCCCCAAATGTGTCATGAAGGTTACCCCTTGTGAAGTGAAGGGGACAGCAGCAAAGATTTCAGGTTGGATCACAGGCCCCTTCTCACTCCACCTCTGACATCTGCTCTGTTCTCTACACTCGCCACCGCTCATCTTAAGAGAATGGAGGCACGTACACATGTCCCTTGTTTCTTGGCTTAAAAATTTTCAGTGACTCTCTACTCCATCAAGAACAAGGTCCAGCTACGTACTCTGCATTTCACAGTCCTCCACACCCCAGGTGGCCCCTCTGGGCGCCATCCCAGGGGTGGTTGGGTGGATGGCAGAAGTCCCCCAGCGACCTGCCTTCTCTGGGGAGTTGGGGCACTCCAAGTGACAGTCCTGGTGATCAGCAAGCTTATTGCCTTTATGTCTTCTGGGTCCCATCAGTTGGCATATGGCTCATGAGCCCCACTTCAGGAACTTCCAGACTCTGGGAGAAATTTTCTCAATTTGGGATGTATGCCCAGTGAGCCTCTTCAAAGAGCAAACAGCCCTACAGATACCAAGGCCTCACTGCCTGCCATCCTGTCTGATCCAGGAAAAAAGCTGCAAGTCTGAAGAGCTTCTCTAACTTACTGGGTGATGGAACACAAGTTCCTAAGGCCCTGGCCTCTGCACTCCTCTTCAGTTGCACATGGACGACAGCACCTGCCCCTTCGATCTCAGGGACAGGTGAACACTGTGTCACTCTCACCCCGTCCCTGGGCACCTTTAAGATCCTGGGGTTCAACTGAGCCTTCTTTGGCAACCACATGCAGGCAGCCATTCACAGTGTGGACAAATCAGGTCACCTCTAGATCTGAAGGACACTTGAAGTCCTGGAGAGGCCCCAGCTCTGCTGTTCTCCTTTGACAGGGCCCGACAACGAGAACCTTGCCAGCCATGGAGTCTTGTTGCTTGCAAAGCCAGATCGCAAGTCAGCAGATATGCTGAGGCCTCTCAGCATCAGAGCCAATAGGGGCCCGGCTGTCAGACAGCCTCTCCTCCCATCCCCAACCTGCCTCGACCCCAAGCACCAGTACCTGCTAACCTAGGGGGACCGCAGACCACCCTCTCCTGACTCTCTCCTGCCTGCCAGGTGTTCTTCCTTATCTTTCTGTCCACACCCCTTTCATCTGGAGTCCTCCCCAGTGTGGGGAGGCGAGAACAGAAGCTATACCTAATAGCAGACACATATTTATCCATTTCGGAATCCTTGATTTGTCTCTGGCAGAAACCATACTGCTCTCTCATCCACAGAATGTGAGAAGAAGTCATGAAAGATCTCTGTCCCCCCTAGGGTTCACCAGGCAATGGGGAGACAGAGAAATGGGAGGGGGGCAGGCAGAGCTATGCAAGGGTAGCCCTATACACCACGGAAGCACAAAGGAGGGACATGGAGGCCAGTAGGGATGGGAGCTTGTCAGGAGAGTGTTCCCAGACAAGACTTCAGCAGAACCTTCAAAAGCAAACAGGAAGGGCCCAGGTCAAGCAGGGTTGGCACAGGGAGCATGTGCCAGGGGAACTACGTGTGCAGAAGCATACAGGCATGAAATAACACTACCTGTTTGGGAAACTCTGCATGGTTCAGGATATCTGGAAGGTGGGGCTGAGCCAAGTGTAGCAGAGGTGGCTGAAAGGAGTCAGGGACAGGTCATGGAGGGGTTGGGTGCCAAGTTGTGGAGTTCAGGGTGAGGATGATAGAAAATCACTGACGCATTGGGATTTTCTAGGTCAGACACCACCCAGGCTAAACCAAGGGAAGACCCGGCACTCTGCCCTGTTGATTATTTGGGAAACCCCAGGTTGGCTTCCTCACTGAAGGCAGGGCCAGCCCCTGTGACGGTCACGCCCCAGGCACATGGCCACATCACAGGGAGCCTAAGTGGTGCCTTTCAGGGAGGTGATGCTTATACAAGAAAAGAGCAAGGACTTAGGAATCAGGCAAGACTAAAACTTGGCTTCATTCTTTAAGCCTGTTGGCTCTGTGAAAAAGAAGGTGTTCATCCCTTTTCCTATGGGGATTAGTGACAGGGTAATGAGACAATGCGTATGAAATGTCTTATTTGTTCTTGACATCCGGTGAGCAATTAAAAATGATAGCTACTATCATTTTATATTTTCAGAGGAGGAAGGAGAGCTGGAGGGGGCTGAGGCTGCCTGTGCTGCTCTGTTATGAGGGGCAACCGGGGGTGTGGGTTGGCACCAAACTCCTCTGGGTGGCAGGGGTTCCAGGCCCTAGAATCATCTGGAAGGTAAGGATTCGGAGGTTAGTGTGGCCGCTTCGTCCCCGCTTCCCCAGGATACATGCCTGGTTTGGATGAACACAAAGATGCCCTGAAGCTACGAATGCCCTCAGCTGTCTGGGCTCTAGCAGGTCCCCATGGGGGAACCAGCAATGGGACAGAGCACAGACTCTCATATGTTGTGGTCCACCCACTTGCCCCCTCAGCAGCAGGATGAGGGGTAGGGGTCCACACCGACATCCTGACCCTTAAGATTCCAGCCCAGACATGCTCTGGGTTCTGACTGATCACTCTCCCAGCTCTGAGTCCAACACCAGTAGCAAACCTGACACCAAGACAGCAAGACAGTCACGACAGGGTCCTCAGCTGTGCTGTGTAGTGCTAGGCTTAGGCCTGGCCTCCTTGGGGATTCCTGCCTGGACCCCAGAGTGATGGAGCGATGAGCTGACTGGGCTAAGCTCCTTCCATTCCACTGAGGCAGCTGTCCTGAGAAAAAGGCTAAGACACCAAAGTTCAAGGGATGCTGGGGGCCTCCATCCAGGTAAGGGCTGGCTAATCTGAAGCTGAGGCTGCCAAATTCACAGTAGCTCACCGGAAAGAGAGCAGATGAGCTCCCGCAGCTTGTAGAGCCTGCAGGTTTCACTTCTGCTCTCACACACCCTTTCTTCAGAATCAAGAGGCCTCTGAAGCGAGCAGGGGGGAAATATACACAGCTGGGGCCTTTCTAGCTTACCGAGAGTGGCAGGGAGGGATGGCAGCCCAGGTGCTGGGCCAGGCTGGGCGAGCACATCAGGGACCAAGGAACATGTGTGACGAGGCTCCCAGACTGTTCCAGGTGGGGCTGCGGCCCCATGACCCTCTAGGTCTTTGTTAGCGAGATGTGGCCTTCACAGGGTCCCACCTCCCAGTATGGACACGGGTTACTAAGTAACTAAGTCAGATAGAGAGGGAGACTAGCTATCTCTTAACTATTAGCTGACAACCCAACTTATTTTTTGAAGGTGCACAATAATAGCTTTATCAACCTTGTGAAGACTTTGCACTAGGAAGGCTTCTGAGGTAGGAACAAGAGGACAAATGTGTGCCAAAGCAGCAACAGATAAAAAACAAACAAAATCCCCAAAAGACCTACCTGCTACTACCACAAGCACAATAAAACATTATAGCAGAGAGATGTTGACCTTAGGAAATGATAGAAAGAGACTCTCTTACCTCCAGGTTACCCTGTCACCCCCCTTCCTGGTTTTGCATACATTGCTCACAGCCCTTACCCCCATGGAAGGCC